CCATTTGACTATACTATAAATTTGATTGGTCAAATTTACTATACGTATTATCAACATTAAATTATTAATTATTTCAGGTTACTATAATTTAATGGTCAAAACAATTATAAATTTATGGTTTTATCTCAAAAAATGACTATAAATTATAGTTAAATTATGATTCCCCTACAGCACAAAAGTTGCAGCAATATTGCATGTTGCAGCAATATTGCAGCGTTATTGCTGCAAATTCTGCGCTATATGGATTATTTTTTTAACCATTTTTTTTTGTCAGTGTTGTTAAGAATAGTAAATCATAGTTCCGGAGGAGTATCGATATTCATAACCGTCGTCGAATCGAAGAGAGTAAGAATCTCTCGACTTTCGATGTCTGTGGTCGCATCGACGCCATATGTTAGCGTGTAAAAGCCATTGCTCTATTCCCGCAAAAATCGACTAATAAAAAGGTAACTCGTCGACCTTCGATATAGTCTACGCTTCGCGGCGACTGGTTCTCCATCTCTTTTCCACTGCTGCCAGGTCTCTCCCAGCTTTTCTTCTCTCTCTTTCTTTCATTGCACACCGCGTATGTGTACGTATATGTTCGTCGCTCTGCCAACTTTCACGTATCATAATATATAGTGAAAGAATGTGGTTTCCCTTTCAAATTACAAAATATGCCACAAGCGTGCAGTTCAGTACACTTCCTTTTCTTTAATTTCGCTTTTTACACGTTATCTCGATAAGTTTTTAAATTTTTTCAATCGTCTACTTTTGAAAGTAATGTGCAATTAGCAATCGACAGTAACAATAGATCAGCTTTCAGAAGCAAATGAAAAGGAAAACATTTTGTAACTTTGCGTTTATTTCTGTCACTGACCTAATGTCCCTTGTATTCGTTTCTTCGACTTGTGAAATCTGAATTCTCTTCTTCAGTTCTTTTTTTACGCCTTCATTCAAAAGCACATCCTGCTGACAAGCGAAACGTGAGGATCTAAAAGTTTAGACTGGAAAGGACAGCGCTTGGGACCGAAACCTTGATTGAGATATTACATTGCCACGACGCGCGTACAATCGGCGCGCAGTTTTATTATTAAAGAAGGACTTGACCCAGATTTTATCGGTGAGAAAAAAGGGATACCTAGGCGATCCATCCTGAATGTCTGTCTGACATCTTTGTCGAGCGGCGCATTATTGCCTCCGGCGACGATTTGTATCATCTTTCATGTTATTAATTTAGACAAGAGGGATGGATTTATGTGGGTTGCGACTAACTGGGTCAGGGACATGGGTTTGCATGCGCGTATAATGTATACTACAGTCAGGTCATCCGGATTCATATTTCCTTACTATGAAAGATATATCTGTGTATATGCTTTATTTATTCCAGATAAGCGATAGTTTTAGCAGGACTAAATTAATAGTTTACTATGCGGCTAAACAGTGTAAACGTGTTTTACAAATATGAGCGATTATGCGAGTTACGTTTACAAGCGGTAATTCGTTATACATAAACGATAGAATAATCGTGTTAAGTGCATACGGCGGATTTTTCAGCGATTATTATTTCCTCTACTTCGCTTTTTTGTATCGTGTAATCTTCCAGGTAATTGATAAAGAAAAAAAGGAGGTATTTATATTAAAATATATAAAAGATTGTGTTTGAAAAAAATGTTAAATGTTCTACTGATAACGGTATGTTTTTAGGATAATTTCAGGACATTCTGCGGACAACAGGCTCACAATTTCTTCTGAATTTTTCCACTGCAACTGCCATGGCCACCCTTTGTGTCTCAACCTCAGTACTTAAGACTGTCTCGGACAGCCGCGAAACAACGCCACTTGTCCGGTAGGTAGAACGGCTCGAAGATATGCGGGAAAGGACAGTCCCATCCTGTGACCCTTTGAACCGGCGCCTCCAGATGCAGGAAGCACTCCGTCTGCATTACAATTTGACAATGCACCGTCAGGGTAACTTAGCGATTCAGTCCACGAGTTAGTTTTACAGCTTTTCTATCGCGCGTGCAACTTTCTAATTTATAAGAATCGATCGACCGATATCGATCAATTCGCGAAGAACAAACGCAGGGGACTCGAGATACAAGTATCCGACTAATCGGTCACTGTTAAAAACCGGTTTGGAGGACTATTACGCGTTGTAACATTACCATCCCACGCGTCATTTTATCTCGCCGAAGACTTCCGACTCGGACACCAGTCCGCACGCGCTACCTATGTTAGAATCACGCGATAGATCTGATTACGCTGTTGCGTAAAACAGCGTCTACAATTTTTTTATAGAGATTTTAAGCTTTAAGCTTTAAGAAATTAATCAATCACACGCCGGTATTCATAGTTCGTTCATAAACGAACTACTACCTGGGTCTTAATGTCTTAAGGAACTAATACTTTTGATTGATTCATGACATTAAGACTATACTTAAGACAGTCTTAAATATAGAGAATCGACTATGAATACCGACCATAGTCGATTTGTCTTCACACAATCAACTGTAAGTCCGAATCCGGAATAGGTGTTTGAAGCCTTAAGAAAGAAGCGTGAGAAATCGACCAACTACGAGTCAAATACGAGGAGAATAATTGATTGTGATTCGTCTATTTCTTATGGCTTAAAAATCTATTGTAGATTCGGACTAATGAATTCCTTACGACTTGAGGCTTAAAGCTTACTCTCTTTTAAAGTGAATTATTACTCTATAAAGAGTAAAATCTCACTCACTGAGAGAAATGATTTTGTTATAGGAATAAATCAAGGGGAAGCAAATGTGATATTTGTTAAAAAACCGATCGATTTGTTACGATTACAAATTAATTCGTCAATGTAACAAATAATCAATAGCATCGCTAGCAAATAAGAGGCTCATATATATATATAAATCATATATATATATATAAATAT